TATTTAGTACAGGGACTACACAGTCTCACTACACAGATCAGACTCGTAGTGATCCTCCAGTTTTCAGCTTTCTAAGCACTGAGATTATAGGCACATGCCACCACGCCTGGTCTCAATCATCATCTCAGCATACCCAGGGGGCGGGGCCAGTACGGGCATGGTAGGAATCAAACCCCAGTCCCTGGCTCTGCCTAAGCAGGAGCTTTAATCCCCTGAGTTATCTGGCCAGCCCTTGTAATTTATTAATAAAAATCAACTCATTGGGGCCAGGGAGATGGCTCAGTAGAATATGCGCTTCCCTGGCAAGCGCAAGGGCCTGAGATCAATCCCTGTTCCCCCCAACCACAAAAAAAAAAAAAAAAAATCAACTCATTTTCTACTTGTTTGCAGTGTTAGAAATGATACTATAGACATTGCTCCTACTTTGAAAACTGAGTGTCCAGGCTAGAGGCCAAGGTGCTCTACTCACTGTAATAACCACTGATTTAGTGCCACTACCATTTCCTTATGCAGTATGTTCATGGCCTATAGTGTTATCTCTGTTATTTATCAAGTTGTGATTATTTTGTTGTTTGTGCCAAACATTAATTGCCAAGGTTGGAGTGACCTAAAGCAATTTTTAAAAGCATGACTAGATTTACTTGAAGATAATCTCTTCTGAAAAGCTAGTTTTGATTGTTACAAAATGACATACTGCCATTCTTGATTACTAGAGCCTTTGTTAGCACTTCGGATGCAATTAAAGCTATATTATATGTGCAGAGCTTAATGAATTCTACTTGTCAGTAAAAAAAACAAAAAAGGAATTTCTAAGTTAATGTAACAGCCTTGGGAAGGAGGGTCCTCAAAGCTGTGTTCATATGACAAGATTAAGGAAAACAATTCTTGGCCAAACAGTTGGGATAGTGACTTGATGGACTCTTCATTTATTCTTAAAAACAGTGTTAGTAAGCATATACTTTGTGCTAGACATTAGACAGTGTGTTGGGTTTTCACTTTATTCTCTAGCTGAATGGTGGTCAAGTGTTCTTTACTAATGAGCTGTTACAGGACCAGAGAGATAGTTCAGTGACTTAAGCACCTGCCTGGCAAGTGCAAGATCCCACGTTCAATCCCTGCTACCAAAAAACAAACTAATGAGCTTCTATATTAACCATGAGAATCCCATCTGGGACAGAAATTGGTAGTGCTGGGTGGTATTGGATATATCACATGGGCACACAAATAGGTGGCTGATCGAATGCTGTTATATAGTAAACTAGGTTCAATTTGGCAATGAGGCCAGCTGAAATTATCAGACTTGGTGGTCATAATTTAGGTTATTGTGATTTGAGTCTTTTATATCACTGTTAAGAATCAGGATAGTAACAATAGTTCCCAAGGAGGATCCTCAAGAATAAACCTACAAAAGGCCATTTAGAAGCCTTTCACCTAGAAAGTGTTGAGGTTATCTCATTTACTCTTAAAGGCCTATCAGGGTTCTCTGTCACTTGCAGAAGAACTTCATGGAGAAGACATCCTGGAGAATACACGGTCTATGGTGTTTCCTAAAAGGGTATTACAGGGGGCTTGCCGGTTAGCTCAGTTGTTTAAGCGCCTGCATGGGCAAACCCAGTCAGGCTTGTGGGACTGCGGTTCAATCCCCAGCTTCACATGCCACACACCCCACTTGCCCTTAGCCAGCCAAAGCCAGCCTGAGCCAGCCCCACCTAAAAAAATCCTTGTAAAGTAAAAGGGCATTGCACAGTAATACTGAAAGTCTTATATAAATCATAAAGTAGGATGTAGAGACAAAGAGAACAAAGTTTTAAGAAGTAGGTCAGAGCTCTTAATGATGAAAAGATATTCCTTCCAGATGTAATGGTTGAGATGAGTTCACCCTCTGGGAAGAAATGTTTGGAAGTGGGGATAATGCTGTGGTGGTTTTAAATTGAAGTCACCAGATGATAAAGAAGAAATGAAACTGAGCAATTAGAAAGGAGAAAAATATATACAGAGATTCTTTTTAAGGGAGGATAGATAAATAGAAAGATAAATGTAAACTGTGTCGGGATATAATATGACAGGGATATTTATTAGGTGGGAAAGGGAGACTGAGTCTGAGCTAATGAGAAACAAATTGAAATGTCAGGGCTAGCTAGAAGAAATGTAATATGTGAAATCTAAATTCAGAGAACCATGTACAGGTCACAAAGATCTTATGTAGAGACAGCAAAGTAAATTTTTAAAATTATTACTTGATAAGTAGGGGTAGCTAAAAACGTATGATCATCCCTCTATCTGTGCAGGAAATTGATTCCAGAATCCACCCTCCCCTACAAATACCAAACTCTGTGGATGCTCAAGTCTCCTACATAAAATGGCATAGTATTTGCAAATAACCTGTGCATTCCTCTCATAAACTTTAATCATCTCAAAATTACGTAAAATACCTAATACAGCATAAGTGATATATAAATAATTATATTTTTAGGAAATGACAAAGTATATATGCTCAGTGCAGATAATCTTTTTTTCAAATACTTTTTGTTTGTTAACTCTATCAATATGGAACCTATGGATATGCCAAGGGTTGACTGTAGAGGAAGAGGTGTTTACTGGGGCTAAATGGCTTCTGACTCACTCAAGATGGGCCTGGTATCAGCCCCTTTTGCGTGCAGGTGACACTGTGATAAGAAAAGCAGCATTCAAATTAGGAAAAGATTATTAGTGGCAGAGCCCTGCAAACTTCAGGAAAGGATAAAATGTAGGAGTGATGTAGTATACAAAGAAGTGATATTGTGACAGAAACATGAATTATGTAAAAGTTGGGCATAATACGCTTACTTCAAGAGGGCCAGAGGTGTTACTTACCTGTTGCCTCCCTCCAGTGATTCTGATCAGTTACAGGTAATAATAACCTGTCACATACTGGGATTACTGTCTAAAAAGAACCTATAGCTTGGGAAAAATTAAAACCTTGTTCTCATAGAGCCTGAGACCAGTTGGCTAGATATTGAAGCGGCCTTGGAAACCTGTAGCTAAGAGTGCTCTCCTTGTCTTTTCTGTTGTCCTGGAGAGTTGGTGCAGAGGATGGAGTCAATACCAGGCATTGAGTCTTCAGAGGTAAAAGTACATAGTCTCTACCCAAAAGAAAGCCTCAGTCTAGTGCAGACTGAAATCTGCCAGGTGTGCTTAGAAACAATGACCAACACAGTGGAAATAAACATTTCTAATACCTAGAATTTGGTCTTCAAGTATTACTGTGATGAAATAAACTAGAAAAAAAAATACTCGATTGATTTTTGATGAAATGCAAAAATAATTAAGTTGAAGGCTACTCTTTTCAGCAAATGGTATTGGGACAGTTGGACCTCCATAGACAAATAAATAGAGAAAGACTCAAATTCTTGAACACATAAAATAGGTAACTTCAAACTTAAGAGTATATGCTAATAAAAAATTAACTTAATTTGATCACAGGCTTAAATGTAAAAATATGAAACTTTTGGAAAAAAACACAAACTAGTTAAAAATTTCTTACACTTGACACCAAAAGCAAATCTAGAAAAGGAAAGACATACCAAAACTATGGTGCAGCCATAATGACTGGCAGATAGACAAAAGAAACAAAATAAATAGTCCAGCATTAGACCCATACTACTGTCATTTGATTTTTGGTAAAGGACCAAAGGAACCCAATATGAAAAGTAGGTTGTTTTTGACAATTTGTGTGGAATAGCTGGCTGTCTACATTGAAAATAATAATAATAACTTTGCAGGGCATGGTGGTGTATACCTATAAATCTGGAATTTGGGAGGCTGAGGCAAAAGGATTGCTGCAAGTTTGAGGCCAGCCTGGATTATATAATGAATTCAAGGCCAGCCTGAACCATATAGCGAGACCATTTCAGAAAAGAAAGAAAAGAAAAAAAGTTTAAGAAAAAATAACCTCAATACCACTTCATAGCATAACAAAAGTAATTGTGCGCATGGTGGCGCATGCATATAATCCCTGCACTCAGGCGGCTGAGGCAAGAAGATTGCTGTGAATTTGAGGCCAGCAAGGGCTATATAGTGAGTTCAAAGCTAGCCTGAACTACATAGCAAGACACTGTCTCTAATTAATTAGTGATTTAAGGACTAGCAGAAGTTTCAAATTCAGGTAAGAGAAATTAATGAAAGAAAAAACGACAATCTTTAATGTTAATGAACTAGGCTTTATTGAAATTAAAATTTTTTCATTAAATGATTCCATGAAGAAACTGAAAGGGGACAGACATCCAACCCACTGATAGAGATGTGCAGCTTTCAATCTCCACTGTGCTAAGAAGACAGGATCTTGGGGACCATAAAAAATCCCAAGAAAACCAATTCAGGGAAGGAAACATTTTCTTGTGGAGAGATCCAGCCTCTAAACCCTAGGACCTGCCGGGTTTCCCCTCTTCCCTCCCCTAATTTGGAGAAAAGGAGTCACTTGATTGAAAGAAATACTGAAAAGCTGTTTACAAAGGAAAATTTACTTGAGGAAATCGAATGGGGATTCTGTCTGCAAAGGAAAGAGGAAAGAAAGTAATCTGACAGGAACTGGACAACCTCTCAGGAAGAAGAAGAAGAAGAAAGAATGGCAGGAGGAGGCAAGGGGAGAGAGATGAAAACCCCGGTCTGCATACAGCAGCGAGGGCAGAGCCCTTCTGTAGGATTCCAAGGAAGAACCTGTAGCTTATAAGGGCCAACTTGTCCCAGCTATGAGGATGCATCAATTAATGAAGTACTCTTGTGCCCAGTGCAGCCAACAAATACAGCAAGGATTTGGACGAGAATGAAGACAAGGTGAAGAATAGCAGCTGACCACAGGAAGATGGAACAGAACAGAAGCACACAAAACTAAGAAACACAGAACTTCTAGTAAGAAATATTATTGCAGTGATCCTTGTGTGTTGTACAAACTATATGCACTTGAAAATATACTCGAAATTATAGTTGAAGAAACAGAGGCCATACAGCGTGGCTGCAGTGCAGAAAGAAAAGATGAGCACAGTTGGGAATCCATCACAACTGATGAGATAAACATTGTCTTAGGTACATTATTAATTATGAGGACAGTGCCATCAGTGGATGTTAGATTGCATATTCGTCTGAAAATAACATGAATGCTGACTGATATGTAAAGAATGCTATGCAACGCAATCATTTTTTGGCTATTCGCACTGCTTATACTTCTCTGACAATACCACAAGCAGAAACAAGACGCCCTGGAATAATGGAAGAAATTATTAGTGTATTCAAGAATAAAGTAAAACCTGGAAAAAATGTAGTGACAGACAAAAGTATGATTTTAGGATGAGGATGTCTGTGTTTTTGCCAGTACATCAAAGGAAAAGCTGTCCAAATGCTGGATAAAATTATATAAATTGTGTATGAGTAATGCTTATGCCTATGATTTACATGTCCCTGCCAGAAAAAGTGCAAACCCTTATGGCATGGGCATTCCTATGATGTGTTGAAATTAATGCATGTGGTTATTGTGCAGGTACACCCCTAACACATAAGCTGTTACAAAAAGAAACGTATCTTGGGAGGGCCAGAGTAGCCAAATTGAAAACTTTTACCAATATCATGAAAATCATAAACTGTAAAATTCCTGCTGGCATAAGATCTCTTAAGTGGACTGATAAAAGGACTATTTGAATGTCAAAACCTGTAAAACTTGTTTGTATACTTGATCGCAGGGAAACCTCAAATCTGACCTTGTCTTTGACTGCAGTATTGCAAAGGAAGGCATTGCTTTAGTAGACCACATGTCATCACACTACAGTTCCTTAAGGAAAACATGAAAATGGTGTAGAAAATTGGAACACAACGTAATTTGTGGTACCACAATTGTAAATGCATATTATATACTCCAGCAGTCGGGTATTTGTAAGATGTCTGTGTTAGAAAATTTAGAGAACAAATCATTGATAAACTATTAACCCATGAAATGCCATGGGCATGTTACTCAAAAAAGCATTCACTTTGTAGAAGCTTACTTAGGATCAGCAAAAAATACATGCAAACAATGGAGAGAATGCCATCAGAAATTATCTGAGGGCCGGCCAGATAGCTCAGCGTATTAAAGTATCTGCTTAGACAGACACAGGGACTGGGGTTCAATCCCTGGCCTGCTGTGTTGGCCCAGACCATGGGGAACACTGAGATCGTAACTGAGACTGGGCATGGTGGTGCACACCTGTAATCCCAGAGCTTGGGAAGCTGAAAACAGGAGAATCACTGCCAGCCCAATATGTGTAGTGAGACCCTGTAGACCCTGTACTAAATACAAAAAAAAGAAAGAAATTATCTGAAAAAAATGGGTGCCACTATGGCCAGAAAAAAGCCTAACATGTTATGATGTTTTGTGCACTCTGCACAACTGGGCCACTTTTATATATAAAATATTTAATGCAATAAATTTGTTGATTATTGTCATTTAAAAAAAAAGAAATTGAAAAAGGAGGCTGGAGAGATAGCTCAGTAGAATAAGTGCTTGCCTGGCAAGTGCAAGATCCTGAATTCAATCCCTGGTTCTGCAAAAAAAAAAAAAAAAAAAAAAAAAAAAACCACAAAAAGCAAAAAACTGAAAGGGCAAATCATACTCTGAAAGGAGATATTAAAAAAAACATAGATCTGGCAAAGGATATACAATGAAGTCTTATAATTTAGTAATAAAAATTCAACTCAAAAATAAGCAAAAGATTTGAAAAGGCACTTCAAAAAGGAGACACATGAATGACTAAATGAAAAGTGCTCAGCATCATTAGTCCTGAAGGAAATACAAATTAAAACCAAAATGATAGCAATAAAAGCCTGACAGGAAGTGGCAAGGTGGTAGAGCAACTGAGTTTCTTACACATCCTTGATGGAAATGTTAAATGGGCAGTCTCTCTGGGGAAAAGATCCAATGATAATACTCTTTGGTGTTTACTTAAGAGAAATCAAACCATAGGTCCTCAAAAACACAGTAGGGTGGGCCTGGTAGCACACACTTAACAATTGCAGCACTCTGGAAGGCTGAGGCAGGAGCATCTCAAGTTGTAGCCCAGCCTCAAAATTTAAACAAAATGATATAGTTCAATGTCGAAGACCTGGGTTTGTTCCCCAGTTGTTGTTGTTTTAATCAGCAACATGATTCATAATAGCCATAAGCCATAAATAGTTGAATTTTCCCTCATAAGATGATTTTTTTAATATGTTACATTATATGCTGAAATACTACTCCACACTAAAAACAAATGGACTGTTGAAATACAACATAAAAAAGTAGATGAAGCTCAAAAAGTCTTTTGCTGAGTGAAAGAAGTCTTACACAAAAGTATACATATCCCATAGTTCCATTTTTATGAAATTTTAGAATGTGCAAAAACTCATCTGTGGTGGAAATCACACCAGTGGTTGCCTTTTGCAGTTGGAATTAACTGAGAATATTGATAGATATTCTTCTCAAAAAGGAGTTATATTCCACATGATACACATTTGTTAAAATTCTGCAAAAGCAGGGCCAGCAAGATAGTTCAGTAGACTAAGTGCCTGTGTAGATGAGCGTGTGGTGCTGGCCCACCTCCAGGTACACTGAGCCAGCCACTGAGTGGTAGCACACACCTATATTCCCAGTGCTGGGGAGGCTGAAAACAGGAGAGGATCACTATGGTCTGAGCTGTGTAGAGAGACCCTGTATCAAATACATTAAAAAAAAAAAAAACTTCAAAAGCATACCATACAGTGCTGCTCAGTATTATGAAGAGGTGAACTATTGAAATATAAAACAACTTTGATGACTTTCCAGAGTATGCTTAATGGGAAAAAAAAAAAAAACCCCAAAAGGCTACCCACTGTATGATTGCATATATATTTTTTAAATGACAATTTTAGAAGTAGAGGACAAATTAATGGTCAATTTAATGGTCAAATTAATGGTTGTCAGTGGTTGGGACAGGAAAGCAGAGACAGCAGGGAAGTGCGTGTGGTTATAGGAGGAAATCAGGAGGTATCTGAATTTCTTAACTGTGGTGGATACACAAACTAGCACAGGTGACAAAACTGTATAGAACTTAATATATGTACACACAAATGAGTGTGTGTGTAAAATAGGAAATCTGAAAGAGATGATCAGTGTCATGCTGGTTATGATACTATATTATACTTTGGTAAACTGTTACTAATGAAGTAAAATAAGCAAACTATACAAGAGATTTTATAAGTTCTTGAAGATCTGCAATTATTTCAATAAATTTTGTTAAAACAGTTCTTTAAAGAAATGCATTTTACCACCTGGGGCCATGAATCCTGAATCGACCTGGAAGATAGGCCCAGCATATGAGTGAGATGACCAGGGCTGCCGGATCCTTAACAGATCCAGAGTGTAGGCCCAGCATGTGAGTGAGACAACCCGGGGCCCTCCGGATCCTGAATAGACCAAAGCACAGGCCTGGTGTGTGAGTGAGATGACCCGCGGCCCGCCAAATTCTGAATAGACCCAGAGTACAGACCCGGCGAGTGAGTGAGACTGCCGGGGGCCCACTGGATCCTCATTCTACCCAGAGCACAGGCCCGACGCAGAACCCTTCAGCAGAACTCCCTGCAAAGAGGCTAGAGGCAAGACCCACCCAGCTGATTCAGGAGCAGAACATCTTGCCAGAGTTCAACTTCAACGGCTGCAGCAGAAAGAAGTGAAGCACAGCAGCCAGACCCCAGCCAAATCCAAGCAACACCCACCTGGAAGAATCTGAGCTTCGTAGATCCGGACATGGTGCTAAGGTGATAACTCTAAGCTCTACACCAAAGGTCAGATGACAGTGGTATACAAAATGACAAAGAGAAGGAACAAAATGCAGTCTCAAGCCCCAAGTCCACCCTGTACAAATGCAGAAGGCACTAGCATAGAAATCACACACCTGATATCTCTGAAATAATAGTGTTGGAAGTAAAGAAACAACTGCAGAAAGGTATAAAAAAAATCAGATCAGAAATAATTTCTGAACTAAAAAATATAGTGATAAATACAATCAAAGAAGTACTAAGTGCTTCTAAAGAATATACTGATAAAAAATAGAGCAGAATATAAAAATGATGGAACCCCTGAATAAGCAATTTAGGAAAGAAATAGAATGTATGAAACAGATTCAAAGTGATATACAGGAAATTAAAACCTCAATCACAAGCTGGCAAAACCATTTGAGTGAAAGTGAAAATAGATTTTCTGACCTGAAAGATACCATTGCAGCTAGTGAAAAAGTAAGAGAAAATCTCTTAAAAACAACTAAGATGCAGGAAAAAATAATTCAATACTTGCAAGATGATGCAAAGATGTACAGTGTGAGACTAATAGGCATCCATGAGAAGGAAGGAGTCAATACAAATGATATAAAAGAACATGGGCAGAAGTAATAGCAGAAAACTTTCCAAATATGGGGCAACAATCTGACAGTCAGGTAACCGAAGCATATAGAACTCCAAATAACATTAACCCAATTAAAACCACACTCAGACATATAATAATCAAGATCCCAGAAATTCAGCATAGGAACAGTATACTAAAAGCTGCTAGAGAAAAGAAACAGATCACATTTAAAGGAAAACCCATCAGAATAACAGCTGATTTCTCTTCA